TAAACGCCAAATCTTTATTGTTGCCATAAAGTTTTGTTAAAATTCTCATTTAAATTACTCAATTTATCTGTGATCAAAGACCAATAGTACAAAAATTGCCTTAGCTTTTAAAGCATTATATAACAGTTACAATTATTTTCTTGCTCTATTATTTAATAATCAATAAAATGTAATTAAATTAACACCAGATTATCTGTTTTATTATCGTACTAGTTGGATACACTTATATTGATAAATATTACAAATGAATTGCAGTAAAATCTGTTATTTGTTAAAATATAGTAAAATCATAATTTCAATTAGGGCATATATTTAGATACTTTTTAAATCCGAATTACTTATGATTTAATCAACAGCAATTTTTTTTCGTACATCAGTTTTTATAACTATATCGACTCTAATTTTTTTATTTTTTTATTTTTTACCTTTATTCTTATATGTAGTAGAAATATCAACAATTAGAAGACAAAGCTATAAATTTATAAAAAAATTCGATTACAACAATACTTATAGCTTTGAAGTTTATAAAAGTTATAATCATTATTAATAATCAAAAACAGATATAATATATAAGTTACACAAATAAAAGCAAAAGCAAACAATAGTGATTGATTGTGTAAATTACGCAGATAAAAGCAAAAGCAAACAATAGTAATTGATTGTGTAAATTACGCAGATAAAAGCAAAAGCAAACAATAGTGGTTGATACAAAGCAAATAGCAAACTAAAAAATTAATGCTAATTTATAAAAATAGCATAAGCCAATCTTTGAAAAAATTATAACGATTGCAAATTGGCCTATATTGTGGGTTTAAAGGTGGAAGCTAGACTTTCTTGGTTGGCTTGAGTTGAACTAGTATGATATGGTTGTGTTCATGCTATTGTAAAATAATAGGTCTCCTGCGATGGCCAGGTTTTTGATTGTATGGTAAAAATAGAAGGCTTGTTGCAGGGTCTGTACCAAATACTGTAACTAGCATATTGAATATATCCGATACTAGTTGTGCACACTCTGGAGAATAGAACCAAAATTCTATTGGGCATGTTTGACTTAGATATGATAAAACTGCCATAAGGTGATTCATATTATATCCAAGTATATTACTATATAATTCTTTTTGTTTAATTAGTTGGTCTTTCATAACAAACTTAACATCTTTCCACTTTTTTTCGTCATTGAAAAAGCTATAGCTAACGACCTAAACCCACAATAGCTATCTGAGATTGGGTTATGCATGTATAATATTATATCTTGAGGAATTTGTAGATTAGAATATGTATCAACTATATTTTCCTTATCTGCATCTAATTTCTTTTTGATAGAGATTTTCTTTGAAGATTTTTTTTATTCATCCTTGCTTCTAATATGTTTATTATTTTTTGGTCAACCACGTGCTTGTTTAACAACTAGCATTCTGATTTCATTATAATTTGTTATACTGATAATATTAATTGTCTCAAAGGTACTTTTAAGTAAAACATTATCTTCTTGTAGTGGTAACTCTAGTATTTTACCATATTCTGTGATATAATCAGAAACTTGCTGCATTAGATCATAAAATTATTATAATGAAATTTTGGAATCTGATTAAAAATTTGCATAATATGTGTATAGATTGCATATTTTATTTCTTCATTATATTTGACATGGGAATACTGGTGAATTTCACTTGAAGGAACACGAGTATGCAAATATGATAAATAAACTGAAATTGTGTCTACACAGAGTTCTGGTTTATTTCAAATACAAGCATGTGCAAATACTGGGTGTTCTAATACAGTCAGACCTCTTTAAGTGCACCCTCTATAAGTGCACACCCTCTCTAAATGCATGCTCAAGTGCCAGCCCAAATATATACTTGACCTCCATAAATGCACTTTTTCTTATAATTCTCTATATGCATATTATTAAAGTATGGTCCAAATAGTGTGCACTTAGAGAGGTCTGACTGTATATACAATATGAGTTGTACTAGCTTTATCATCAGTTTGTATTACATTATATGTGCCGCTGCTACTTTCATACACCTTATAAGCACCTGATTTTGCAAGAACTCCTTGCTGCTTTACAAATAATTCAAATGCAAATTGTGAATACACTAGCCGTAACTCTTCCAATTCTGAATTTGCATCATCATTTACATGTTTTGATGTAAAAATGTAACATATGCAAGCTTTTGTGATCTTTCTTGTAATTGTCATAAAAGAGTTGCAAGCAATCTATAAATAAATAAATAAATAAATACAAATTAAAAAAAATTTAACAAAATTAAAAAAAATTAACAAAAGTTATAAACTACCTGTCAATTGGAGTAATTCTATTTTCAATACCTTTTAGCTTACTGTGTAAACTTTCTACACGCTGGCTTGATTTTAGATCAAGGTTTATATTATGTTTTGTATATGGTGCAAGCCAACTATTTTTGTATAGCATCCAGATTTCACACATATACGATTTGGCTTCCAGAAATTGTCTCCATAATGCTATAATCTCTTGTTCAATATGGTGAGTTTCTAGACTATCATCATATGTAAGTTTCTGAATAGCTTTAATAAATTCATCAATATTAACAAGCTTTTTAAGCTTATTTCTAATGTTCTTGAAGATGTGCCAAGTACATAACTGATGTCTTGCTTGGGGAAATTCTTCAGAAATTGCTATAATTAGAGCTATCTCACGATCTGTTATAAATGTCGCAACCTGTGCATTACCTGTAATAATAGAAGAAATAATAGAATATAATATAAGTAATAATTATTGGTTATTACTAAATATAGATATTACTAATTATTACTTATAACTAAATTTAATAATAATAATAAGTTGTGATATATATTATAATTACCAATCTTTATTTACCTGTCAACATGGTTAATGCTTTGTTCAATTGTTGCATTACCCAGCTATAATAATTCTTTGTCTCAAAATAAACAAGTGCGAATGCCAATGGATATGTAGACCCAAAGCGATCAATGCTACAAATAACTACTAATGGCATAGAAATTCTATTCATCTTGTACGTTGCATCAACAATTAAAACATTTCTTGCAATTGTGAATTCAGAGAATGCACTACGATATGCCTAAAAAATCCCTTGAATAAATTCACTATCTTGATCTCATTCGGTGTCATATATGTCTTTTAATGCAACATAACCTATGATATTTTCATTATTACTTAGAGTCTTAAAGAGCATCTCAATCTCAGTTATACCCTGGAGCTTGTGCTGACACTAACAGCTTATGCATTATAAATATCGGGTTTATGAATGTATTTGGAGCTAACTGAAGCTAATATAGAAAAAATATCTTTTGTTCTGAGTCTATTATCATGAAGTCTTTCTATTAATCCAAGATCATCCTTATCAAACTTACGCACAACAGTGCTATATTTATAGCATCCGAACAAAGTTCATGATTATATCTCAAGAAAGACTTAGTTATAACAAATTTTTGAATACATTTGTGAGTGATAATTTATACTGATTGAAAAAGGACACCCAGACACTTTGTTTTATATACATCATTCGTTCTGCAGTATTTTCCTTGCTTTTCACATGCAAAAAGTGCTTGTCGATAGTCACTATTATCTGAATTTTTTGTCATTTTACTTATAATTATAACAGCCTTGGTTTGTGCAACATATTGCTCTATTGTTGCACATGCTTTAGCAAAAGTTGCAAATGTATGTTCTGGCTCCAAAATACTATTATCTATATAATTTTCAAAAGTATGCACTAATTCCACAATATTATTATTCATATAAACTTTAGCAAAAGCTTCTAAATTTATGATACTATTATCTATACAATTTTCAAAAATATGCCTAATCTAACAATACTATTATCACTATAAACTTCAGAAAAAGTTTCAATAATATGTTCTAACGCAATAGTGTTCATAATACTATAGTTCTGAAAATTTATAATTGCCAATTACATGACTAAAAAATCAGACAT